TAATATTTATCTTTACATTTCAGAACAAAATAAAATATGAAAATGAGTATAGTTATCCATTTTAAACAATTCAAGAAGGAAAATATTAATCTTTTCTTATACTAAAAAGCATGAGAAATAGAAACGATTTTTGAAAATAATTTAATGTAATTCATGTATGGATATTTTCATACTAAAAAGCTACATAAATAATTGCAAAACAATCTTATAATAATATTTATATTTACATTTCAAAACAAAATAAAAACTTCTTAAAATATGGTATGGCGGTATAGTTTAATATGGCGGTATAGTTTAATATTTGGCATTTAGATTTTCAAGAAGGAAAATAGTAATCCTTTCACACGTTAAAAAGCATGAAAAAAAGAAAAAATTTAGCAAATGATTTAACGAAATTCATGTATAGAAACTTTCCAGTTTATGAGGACGTTAGTGTATGATTGAATACATCCATATGTCTGGAGCAAATACAGTGCAGGTAATCTAAATAATAAATTTCTTTCCCGATTATGGATGCCTTTGTGAATGCAAAAACCATGATCATCAACACTACTATATGGCCTTCGAATTTAATTTTCTTTAAAGCTTGATATTACTCAAGATATCTAATAAAAATCTAGTGAGGCATTTATGCCCTTTTCTATAAAAATGTGCATGTAAATGAATATGGTTTTTGACAATATTTCACAAGAACAGACGTTGATTCTTCTTTCCCTTTTTTTACTTTTTTAAGACGGAGAGAGAGCATTTTATTTTTAAAACTTCAAAGAAATGCATCATCAATACGAAAAGAAAAAGTAGCTCCCAGTGAGACCATCAGCCATCGAAGCTCATGTATTTAAAAGAAATGACAAAAATAGAATATGCTTCTTTACGAGAAGAAAAGAGAAATGACCTGAGACAGGTCGCTGTGTTTCTTTATTCGAGCTTAAAAAATATTCCCCAAATATATATTTTTCCCTTCCTATTACGCTGTCGTTTTTCCCTTTCTTCTTGGTCTTGTTTTTGCACCGTTCTACGTTGAGGTGATTTTTTTACTTGCAAATCTTTACCTCTTTGTGAATATATTCTGTAGTTGCCCTCGTTATTAAATGTCTCAAAAAAAATTTTTTTAATTCTTTTGTGTAAGCAGATGTCTTAGTTCTCAGACAAGGTTAGCGTGTGCTTTTTATGCATGCAAAGAAAGTCACTTACACATATACACTTACACATACAAGTTCGCGCATCATAGAATGTATAAATTTGCTGTCGTATTCGTCTATAACTTTGTCATATAAATCTTAAAAAGTATTTCTTACTAAAGTAAATGATGTCGAAAGAAACATTCTTTGAAGGTGTGTTGATTTTTTTTAATGTATAAATCTCAGAGAATGTAAAGCGAAAAATAAATATTGATATTCAAGAAATAAAAAAAAAAGCCATATTAAAAATTCACCTGGAAACTTCATATGGCAGAAAAAATTGACGTGTCAGTGAAATATTCTTTTCTAATGCTAATATATTAGCATATGTTTCCTTTTGACAGTAATTGACACTTCGTTTACTTAAAGTATTATTTTTTCTTGGGTTTATGGTGTTTTTTAATGCAATCAATTTATATCCAGATAATAACACTCATTTTATTCCTATCATGCATTAATATTTAAAAATTTTTAATAAAGACTTACAATTAATAATATGTTTCTTAAAATTGATAAAAGTTTAAGTGAGAGCAATTAGTGTGCAGGTTGGGCAACGAGATTGTAACTGGGTGTAACTACAGTTGAAATACTTGAAGCACAGGTTGGGGAATTCATAGCTCTCTTTGCACACTCACAAACATCACAAACATACAATTAGAGACATACAATATTTATCACATTTAAAGATATATAATTAAAGATTCTTGGAAGGATTCCCCTTATAAGCCGAAAGTCCGAAACTCGGCTACGCGCAGGGTGCGCGAAAGATACTTCCTCTCCGGATGAGAATCTGTAGGTTAACTAATACTTCGGTGTGTTGAATATATTTTCTCTCGGGATGAGAGACTATAAACAAAGAGAGATTATGTCACGTTTCTCAACAGAAGCGCATGGTTGTGCTGTACTTCGTTTCGAGTTAGTCTAGGGGCCTACTAATCATTTCTCCTGAATGCCACAGGGGGGCGCTGTTGCGTGCGTAGGAGGAATGCATGATGTAGAATGAAATATATTTTCCCACGAAAATTATTTTCCTTTCATCTCTGTGGAATTTTGTAGTTAATATTCTCTAAAAATTTTAAGTTTTTCAAATTTATAGTGATTTTAATTACAAAAACTAACCACAAAGCATATTTTTTAGAACATATAGTTTCTGAGACAGGTTAAAATGGTTATTAGGTTATATTATAAGTGTAAACATGGTTAAAGAAGGATACATTATAGATCAAATTATCGCGTAACTAATAAAAAGGAACAATATTAAAAAATTAAAACTAAGAAAGTCCAAGTTGTATTCAGATGTTTCAAATAATTTTTAAAAAATTGCATTTTTTATTTTTATTCTATTAATAATCGTAAAAATTTATTTTCAACCTAAAATGTAATAAAAAAATTATTTTATAAAACTGAAATAAATTGGCAGAATCCTATTTTATAAAATACAGAATAAATAGATCATTTGTTAAAAGATTTCTCATAATTCAATTTGTGTCTTGTTTTATACATGTTTTTTGTGACATAGGAGCAGAAATGAAACGAGTTTTGGAGAAATAAAAAGTTATTTTTTTTTTTTTTTGTTTCATATAGATGAAACAAAGTCTAATTTTGCTAAAGATCGTTAGATTTCTTTCTAAAATATCGCAAGGCGATATTTTTCTTCTCTAATACAAGAAAAGCAGTATTATGTATTATAGGAATTTCATGTGATGATTTTATAATAACATTTCATCCTTATGTCACTAGTTTAGTTTTTTAAGGGTTTTAATATAACTGATACGATTTTATTTCTTACGAAATTCTTTTTTAATGGATTCTGTTTTTCACATGAAATTCGTTTATAATATATATATAGATATAGATATAGATATATTTAAGAAAATCAGGCAACAAAACTGAATTCTTTTTTATACAAGCATGGAATAAAATAATTCCAAACAGAAAAGTAAACATTTTTTTTATTTCTAGACATAATGATGTATTGCTAATGTATGCACTTAAAAACTGTAAGGGAAATCTGCATTTCAACTTAATAGATTTGAATTCGAAATTTCAAAACTTTCATAATGATATCAATTACTAGATGATTACATATATTATTAAAATATTTTGATATTGATGAGCTGATATGTATTCAATAAAAATACTTTCCTTATCTAAAGTGGGAAATATAATATTTTCATATTATAACTTTATATAATATTTTCAAAAATTATTATTAATTAATTTAACAGGGTTTCCCAAATTAAGCGCAAACAAAAGAAAAAAATAATAAAGGATTCTTTTACCCTTGAAAATACACGCTAACTTGGAAAAAACACTGTCTTTGTTTAACATTATGCTCAAGTATTTGAAAGTTGAAATGTTTTAAATAATATTTGATAAACACAATGTGTCATAATTGTAATTAAGCACAATGTGTTATAATTGTAATTAAGCACAATGTGTTATAATTGTAAGTTACTAAAACACATTCGAGTTCAATATGTGAACAGCTTAAACAGTCAAGGTGTTCACTCCAATAACTATAATGGCGCAACAACGATGCTCCATGCTGGAAATGATAATTAACTTATATTAAGGTTATTCAAATCTTTCTATTAGCTCACACTCTCCCTATATATATCTTGTTAAATTTTCAATCGTTAATAAAATACTTTTTATTCACCCAAGTTCAGATACATTTTTTTGAATTTGTAGTGGATGGTACTTGATGTTAATAGAGTTTTTTCAAATATTAATTCATTAATTAAATTTAATTCATTAATTTTAGTTTTTTTTTTTTTTTTTTAGATTTAAGTTGCATATATCTACCAATAGATGGCGCCAGATAAACTTAATAAAATGAATGAAAATTATTACGGCCGTACCATGCTGAATATACCGGTTCTCGTTAGATCACCGAAGTCAAGCATCATTGGGCGCGGTCAGTACTTGGGTGGGTGACCACCTGGGAACACTGCGTGCCGTTGGCAAATTTGGGACCTGAATGGCCAAGTGTCTGGCGCTCTGGCGCTCGGTGACACAGGTTTCGGGTTCGAATCCCGGCGGTGCCATGGATGTTTGTAGTGGTTCGGAATCCACTTTAAGCCGTAGGTCCCGGTCTCCTATGACTGTAAGAGCATCACGGAGCCAAAGTCAGGCTTCTACCTACGGGTGCTCCATCACAACAAAAGCTGCTTCCTTCCCCTTCAATCATGAGTACGTATGGGCTCGTGGGCTTGGCCAGCCAAGTGGGATAAGAAACAACAACAAACACAATATAATGAAAAAAAAGTAGGGATTGACTTTAAAATTTTTTTTTTTTTAATATTACTTGTTAACATACTTGGCTAAAACTCTCATTGATGTATCAAAAAAAAAATTCGACGATTCTGAAGTGATGTAGAGGGTGCAACAATATGTTAGTGCTTATCTACATATCTGTTTTTGCTTTAATGCTTATATGTTAGTTATATATCTATAGGTTTGTCCTATATCTATATGTTAGTTAATGTTTTATCTATATGTTAGTGCTTATTTTTATCTCAGCAACATTATGCTAGTTAGAGAAAAGTGCAGTTTGCTCATCCCTAGAGCAGGGATGAGCAAACTACGGCCCGCGGGCCAACTCCGTCCCGCCGGAAGGTTCTATCCGACCCGTGGATAGAATTTTAATTTACCTGTCCGAGCAAATTAAAAGAAATATATATTTATATATTATATTTCCATCTCCTTTTCTACTTTGATTAGATATTATTTTTTTTCTTCATTTTTTCAAAGGACAGATGTTCTTTTTACTTCCTCTATTTTTGTTCTGTAAAACATTAATCGACGGAAATAAAGCACAGACAGCTTTCAATCGGTAAAGTGTTAAAAACGACAGTTCTTTCTTACTTATAGCTGTAGATTGGCCCCAACAAGTTGGAGTTTTACAAATCATTATCGAAAGTAAGTTTCCCAAATTTAATATCTCACGCCCAGAAAATCAGTGCTATGTTTGCTTCATCTTATACATGTGAACAAGAGTTTTCAACTATGAACTTTAGAAAGAATTATTTCAGAAGTAGACTGACAGATGAGCATTTAGCCTCGTTCCTTAGAATCAGTACATCTCACTTCGAACTTCAATATAAGGAACTTTTAAAAAAGACATCGTAATTTCATTCATCTCATTAACATATTTAAATTGTAATACTTGTATATTGTTTTTAAAATTTTAGAAAAATTTATCTTGGCCCGCCAAACTTTTTTACTTCGATTTTTGTCCCGCGACCGAAAAGGTTTGCCCATCCCTGCCCTAGAGCATCCCGAACATGTTCAATGGGGTTCAGGTCCGAAGAAATCGCTAAACAACACTCTCTTCACGAAGGTAACTATTCACCAATCGTGATTTGTTTGCTCCATCACAGTGACCTTCAAACTGTGTTCCACGTAACACTGGGGCTCCAAAAATTTTTCTAAATGGTTCCATAAACATACATAAAATATTCATCAAAATGATGAAAATAATAAAAATTCAGCTATCTAGCTAATAATGATGCAACTAAATCTAGCATTATTATTAATTAATTATTTGCATGATTACTAGTGATTATATTAATACGCTTTTATTAGTTTCACCTGTATGTTTGTTTGTTTGTTTGTAACTGACTCTTTGGGCTCGATTTTGCCCTACTTTAAGCGATCAGATTTAATTTTAACGTTGTTGACTTATCAAGGACCGACGACAATAAAATAGTTTGATAAGTTTATTATCTAATCATGATTAGGATCGCCTGGATTAGTGATTTTAACTTATGAAGAGCAATTTAAGCCACGTAGAATGAAAGTAACTAAGACATTCAAACCTACGTGGGACAGCGGCACAACGGATAACGCGCCTGACTACGGATCAGGAGATTCCATGTTCGAATCCTGGCTGCTCGACATATTCGCATTTAGTCTTTGTTTTACTCACAATTAAATTATTGTAAGAACTATAGTTCCAGTCCTCCGTATCGGAACCTCATTTAAATATTATAGTTTAAAAAACACGCTTTTAATCAAATTAAAAAGTAAAAAATAATTGTTAACATAAGAATAAAATTACTGACGAAAAAATGAATGTCACTGTTCTAAAAGCGTGGGGTACTTTGTATGACATTTTTAAACTAACTCTGAATTTCGGAATGAAACTAATGAAAAATTATAACGATTGATATCGAGCACCCCACGCTTTTAGAACAGTGACATTCCTTTTCTCGTCAGTAACTTTATTCTTATGTTAACAATTATTTCTTACATTTTAGTTTGATTAACTCTAAAATCATGTTTTTTAGTTTTTTTAAACTATAATTTATTGATTACTAGTGGGGATAACAGATTTCTTCCAATCATATTATAATTCCATTCAAGATAAACGGTTATATTATTCTCAAATGCAAATGGTTATTAATAAAGTTTTAAACGTGCTGTACTTTAAAATGGGACGTAAAAAATTTACACATTATTGTTGTAACACGTTTTCTTATAAAAGAAAATTTTAATGAGGAATAAATCTAATTAAGTTTGATAAGTAATAATTCTTATTCTGTTTATATTATAATTTATCTATTCCCAATATTGAGTGAAGAAGGTTAAGAACCCCTGCTCTATGTGATTTTTTTAACTTTCTATGGAAATAATTTTTGGTCTTTGTTTAACATTATGCTCAAGTATTTGAAAGTTGAAATGTTTGTAATAATATTTTATAAACACAATGTGTTATAATTGTAATTTTTTGTATTTCTTTTTTTTTTTTTTTTTTTTTTACATGTTTACTATATTTATTAAGATTACAGCTGCATGTAAATAAAAAGACTAATAAAGAAAATAAAGGCTTACTCCCATCATTTTTCTTATTCCACAATAGTGATTAACTCCCTTGATTCGCGATAAAGCTGTAAGCATGTATCAGAAGCCATTTGAAATATGCTGCTGGCGTGCACTGCAGTCATTTAGAAACGAAGATATGTATGTTTTTCTCTAAAAAGGAAGAATCCTTTCCTGGATTTGTCCGAAGGAAAATAGTGATATTTAAAAGCAATTCAAGTGTTTACAGTGCTTATAATTTTTTTTATCAAAAATTACATCATAATTGTTTCTTAGTAATTAAGAATATATATATATATAAATGTATCATTCCTTTGGCAAAATTATCAGCCCCTATTTTCTAATTGAATTCTTTGGATTTTTATGCAATTGGATTTCAAGCAAAAGTTTTATTAAGTTTCCATCTGATAGTTCTCCATTTTTCCAAATATTTATGAAATCCAAAGTAGTTTTGGGCTTCATAGGTAACAAACAATCGAAATCTAAATTTAGAGTAGTGGTTTTGATTGCATCTTTTTAATATGATCCCAACAAATTTATCAAGATTACAACAATTTGAATGATGTGGATCCCGTTTAAAAACTTAAATTTAATTATGTAGATAATTGTGGTTTTTGTTTCCTTTTCATGTTGCAAAATGGTACATGCAAAATATCAATTAAAACTCTACTTCGTTAATATATAGTTTTAAATAGGGGTGCAACGTAGATCGACCTCCTTGTAGTGCACCCTGGAGACGTTCTAGACCAGGGATGGGCAAACTTTTTCGGTCGCGGGCCAAAAATCGAAAAAAAAAGGTTGGCGGGTCAAGATAAATTTTTCGAAAATTTTAAAAACAATATGCAAGTGTTAATGAGATGAATGAAATTGCGATTTCATTTTTAAAAGTTCCTTGCATTGAGTTCGAAGTGAGATGTACTGATTCTAAGGAACGATGCTAAATGCTCATCTGTCAGTCTACTTCTGAGAGAATTCTTTCTAAAGTTCATAGTTGAAAACATTTGTTCCCATATATAAGATGAAGCAAACATAGCACTGATTTTTTGGGTGTGAGATATTAAATTTCAGAAACTTACTTTCGATAATGATTTGTAAAACTCTAACTTGTTGGCGCCGATCTACAGCTATAACTAACAAAGAGCTTCCGCTTTTAACACTTTACCGATTGCAAGCTTGCTGTTTCCGTCGATTTATGTTTTGTAGAACAAAAATAAAGAAAGTAAAAAGGTCATCAATCCTTTGAAAAAAAGGAAGAGAAAAATAATATTTCATTAAAGTAGAAAAGGAGATGGATATATAATATATAAATATATACTTTCTTTAATTTGCCTCGGACTGACAAATTAAAATTCTATCCGCGGGCCGGATAGAACCTTCCGATGGGCCGGAGTTTGCCCATCCCTGTTCTAGTGGCTTAAGTGATCTACAATTTTGGCATGCAGCCTCTCTAGTCTTACTCCATGAAACTTGAAATCCTACAGTGGAATGCGAGTGGGTTATCCCAGGCAAAGAAAATCAGATCCAACGATCTTTATAACAAGTATAATACCCAAGTATATAACAAGTATAATATCCTATTTGCCCATTTTTTTAACTCTATAGAAGTAATGGGCAGGGACCATGTGCTCCGATGTGGACCCACAGGATTGTCAAGATATTAGGAAGCAAGATCGCTCTTAGGCAATGACTCTAGTCTTCTTTTTGTTCTTAATTTTTGATAATTCTACTGTTCTTAGTGCTATTGTTCTATGTAACTTTTTACCTAGCCATTAGAAATAAAAAAAAAGTTTTAAAGATGTAAATAAAACAAAATAAGGGTTATTTTGAAGCTTCACTTTGATTTAAGGAATAGCAATGGATCTTTTTCTTATATTAATAGCATCATTAGTTTGATGATTATAGCATCATCAAGCTAAAACTTGTCATGTGACTTGAGCTTCATTATTAGATGATGTGGATTTTTATTACAGAAAACAAGAAGAAAGATCAAGTAAATGAGACTACGTTCTATTTGCTACGCTCACCATCGTTCTTGGTTCTTCACTGAGTGATGCTAATTCAAAATCTCTGGTAGATTATGGTAGAGAATTATTCCCTATTATTTATTTTTGGAAATTGAAAGCATTTTCATTTACAGAC